AGTCACTGAAAAAATATATTGGTAAGAGAAATTTGCTATTTGCAGTCCCACATAAGTGTTTTCACATGGATGTGTGCAAGTACATGAGTTTGTACAATGTGTAAGTTGTAATGTGCCCAACAAACTCCCTACATACTGTACTTAACCCAATACCCATGAGTAATGAGATAAGAGTTTGTCAGACAAGGATGGTGTTGGTAAATAGTTTTTTTGGCTCCAGTCATGGAAATTGTCTGCTGGATAAAAGCTTGTGGTTGTGATCTCTTTATCCTTATCCTTATCCTTAGTTTGACCAGGTTAGTCTCTCTCCTTTTAATTCTCTCTCTTTTACCTTATCTTCCAGACTCTCAGCAGTGCCCGTACATTGGGTTCACATCATCATCCTCGTGCCCTTATATAACAACCCAGAAATTCTCCAACCGTGTGACATGGCAGATTCCCTGGAATCCAGCTCCAGTGAGGAAAGTCTCCTTATGCAGTGGAACATTTCCAGTCGACGCAGCCGAAAGTCTGGATGCTCTAACATTTTTACAGGCTTGAACATGCATCAGCTACACAGGCTGTTCAGAATGTCAGGGGAGAGAAATGCTGAGCATCGGGCGAAGCTGGTGTGGCAGGGGATAGATGACGATATGCCAGGAGCAAATGAAGAAAAGGATGAGAAAGAAGGGGAAGAAACAGGGCTGGCCGAGGCCTTGGTAGGACTGAGAGTCCGAGCAAGGAATAAAGCAGGAATCAGAGTCGAGGGACGGAAAGATCACAAGTGGAACAGAGCACTGGGATATCTCAGGTTTGTGTCTGTTTTGTCTTTTCCTACACAAAATAAGAAAAGACAGGATGTGTGAAGATAATGATTTTAGATTTTATTTGTAGAAAATTGTTTCCCCCTCGTATCAGTAATACTGTCACCAGTTAAACTTTGGGTTACACAAGCTCCTGCCTAAATGCAGCAAACAATTGTCATGTGTCTAACAAACTCATTTTAACCTCACATGACTGTGTGTTCCCCTGCATTCTGTCACACACACACACACAGTCATACATCTGTTTCTACATTCCTCACTGAGATGAAATAAGAGTTCTTAGAGTAATAATAAAGTCTCACAGCGTGGTGAAGGTCGGCGACAGAGTGGTGCAGTATTAACAGAATTACTCAGTGTTACTTCTTTGACAACGCTGTGAGCTAAAGTTGTGAAACTCTGTTTGACTGTATAGTTCAGCTTGTTTTCTCATGCTAAATGTCTAATGTGACAATTTATTTTTGACACTTTTTTGTATGCCACAAATGACATATTCATTTCACTTGCTGAAAGGCTTTTTTTCTATTTCTGGAGAAATAAAGAGACATTGTAACTTTATTCTGTTCTACAACCATAAAGTAAAAGTAATTGTCAATAACGTTTTTACTTGTTACGTTGTAATTTAACTTCTTTTCCATGTGGCAACCTACAAATTTTCTTTATGGCTGTTCTCTCATTGTAGCTCGTCTGTGGCTATATTTCTGCTTTAGAGTACCATACACATTAGTATCAAACCATCAGGCCAACTGCAAAGGAATTAGAATTTTAGAATATAAACAGCAAATGAAATGTTCAGATCCTCAAATTATAATGTGTCTTTGTGACAGTGTATTTAACTGCCTAACCAAGAGTTATTTATCTTTGTTCCAGGATTAAGGAGCCATTATCTGACTTTAGTGCTGATGATGAAGAAACCACTAAAGCTCCAAGTGCAGGAGAATTTCTGTTGCCAACTGAGGAAGACATCTCAGATAGTCAAAATCCCTTCAAACCTTCATCATGGAGGTTGGGGGTGACAAGGCTTGAGGACGCCAGAGACTCTGAACGTTACCTTCATCGCATCCTCTATTAAAAACTAGATTTTGGATGAAGATGCAACAAAACTGAAGGCTGATTTTGTTTAGAAGTACGCGCTTCTGCTATCATGCACTATACGTGTTAGACACTAGCACAACTTTATGAACTGTGGTAAATCTGCATGCAAATTAAAGGACAATCTATTATAGGAAATTCAAATGTGTGTCTACTCACAAAGAGAGTTGTTGGAAAGAGGCTAGAATGAACAGTTTTATTGTTGTTGTGGTTTTTTAATGAGCTGTTCTGTACACTACAATTCTTATACACAGAGTGAAATATTTTTGAATAAACAGAGGGAAATACTTTTATATGGATATTTCAATGTGTCACAGAATATCAAAGCAATCATAAATTTAAAATAAATAGTTAGCGGTGAAATGTACATCCATCCATCCATTCGCTTCCGCGTATCCTTTTCAGGGTCGTGGGGGGCGCTGGGGCCTATCCCAGCTGTCATAGGGTGAGAGGTGGGGTACACCCTGGACAGGTCGCCAGTCTGTCACAGGGCCAACACACAGGGACAGACAACCATTCGCACTCACATTCACTCCTGCATTCACACCTATGGGCAATTTAGATTGATCAATTAACCTACCCCCACAAACTGCATGTCTGAAATGTACATATAAATAATAAAACAATTCACTCACATTCATTTCAAACCCTGGATTAGCTTTTCAGCAACAGAAAAAAAGGTACCATATTGTAAAGTTGCCTATTTACAACACACTAGCATGAATTTACAGTTAGTTCTAGCCATCTGGTAAATTTAAATACAACATTCTCTATCTGGTTGCTAAATCTTAGTTGCTAAATTCCCCAATATATTTACCAGCTGGGTGCTAATTGTGTTTGTCGATGGGTGGTGGAGAGAGTGTACTGTGGGTTGATCAGTGCTCTTTTCTGCAAACAAGTGCGATGCTAACCCAGAGAATAAGGGGACAAAGGAGAATGAACCAAATCATTAAAACTGGCAGTGAAAACAATGAATAAATCAACAAGCTGAAGAAAGTTGGGTGGTTACTGTGGGTTTGTCACTACGTGTGACAAACCCACGATGCACACCAGGGTTGGAACCTGATTACAGAACTGCTTTAATTCTTCGTGAAATAGATTCAACAAGGTGCTGGAAATATTCCTCAGAGATTTTGGTCAATATTGACATGATAGCATCACACAGTTGCTGTGGCTTTGCATGCACATTCATAATGTGAATTTTCCATTCTACTGCAATGCAGAGGTTGCTTGTTGGAGAACTGGTGACCGTGGAGGATATTAGAGTACAGTGAATTCATTGGCATGTTCAATAAACCTGTTTGAGATTATCTTAACTTCATTACATGGGATGTTGTCTTGCTGGAAGCAGCCAACAGAAGATGGGTACACTACTCAGGTAGGCTGATTCCCCAAAAGATCCCCCACTCCATTATACCACCAAGTTTGAGTCGCCAAATTCTGACCCCACTATCCAAATGTTGCATCAGAAAAAGCAACTCATCAAACCAGGCAATACTTTTCCAATCTTCTCCTGTCTCTCTCAGTTTCCTCTTCTTTAAAGCAGTGGCATGTGGTTCGGTCTTCTGCTGCTCTAGCCCATCGGCTTCAAGATTCAGCAGTCAGCAGTCTGGCCATTCTCCTCTGACCTCTGGCACCAGCAAGGCATTTTCGCCCAGAGAAATGCCGCTCACTGCCATGCTCTGTAAACCCAGATGATTGTGTGGAAAAAAAAATCTGGCACCAACAACCATGCTACGTTCAAAATTACTTAAAATAACCTTTATCCCCCATTCTGATGCTCAGTTTGGACTTCAGCAGGTCGTCTGTTCTATGTTTACATGCACGATGAGTTGCTTGCCTGCGATTGGATAATTAGTTATTTGCATTAAAAAACAGTTCAACAGTGAAGTGGTCCTGATTTTATATCAACTGTCAACAGAAAAGGATACTGAGCATAGCACTGAGTCTTAATTAAGAGTGGAACAATTTTAAAGACAAGGCCAAAATGCAAAATAGACTTCAAAAGTGCTGCCTGTGGTTCCCTCTCCATGCAACTCGATACGCATGAATAACTGTTGTCAGATTAAAGTGTGCTAGTCCGGTGTTAAAGGTTGTTCAGTTAAAAAATTCAGTGCAAATCCAACAGAATAATAAAGTTTATTATTTGTTCATGACTCAGTCATGATTAAAAAAAATTTTCTATCCATTAAAAAAAAAGAAAGAAAAAAAGCCATAAACTGAAAGTATAGTTTTGAAAAACTAACAAACTTTAGTTCTGCTTGAACATGAGCAAATTATTCTTGCACTTCTTATTTTTTGATTGTACATGTACAATGACAATAAAGGGCTGTTCTATTCTTTTGTATTGTAATAAAATCAATTATAATCAACAGTCACAAACGCACAAATCGCCTGTATTAATGGAATATGTTTTAATTATAATCTGTCATTAAATATTACATACAAATTATACAGTGCATTACATTTCATGTCAGTTCAATACAGCAGAAAGTTACTTCTTTGTTTACTTAGGTCCACCTTGGAGACAGAAAATCAACTCAAACCAAGAGTCCAAAACAAAAGGAGCTGATGGACGAGCAACCACCACTCCCCTTTGTTTAGTTGCAGATGCAGTAATTTTGTTTTCTTCACCAAAGACTCAATTCCTCAGAGGGAGTAGACACATTAGACGAGCCACTCAAACTCACACTTACCTTAACTTAACAAACAGTTAAGTTCTTAAACCAAAAGTACCTCAGCTTTTCTACATCAACCAAGATGACTTGCAGATCCTGATCTTAGGAGGAACCATGTGAAACCAGTTCACATGGTCGATGTTCATTGTGTAAAGGCATGCACACCACTGAGTGCCTGTTTCCTGAATCTGTCATACTTGGTCACAATGAACACTTCTCTTATTTGTTAAAAAATAAAGTAAAATAAAATAACGATTTAGTGGCACAACTGCTTTCACCAACCCGGGGTTTTGAACTTTGTGGAAGGGAATATGCATGTGGATATTGAAGGATGAGAGATATGGAAAAAAGCAAACAAAACAAAACATGGACTTCAACACTTCCCATAAAAAACAACAACATGAGAGGCTTCTGACGAGTGTGTGTGTGCGTGAACAAACATTGTGTGCACCCAGGATTCCAACAGAACAGTCACCTCACTGAAATCTTTCACAAGAAGGTACAAAATCTTCATCACATCATCAGTTTTTAAGCTGACCTCCACAAAAGGCACATAAGTAAAACAGGGAAGATACGTTATGAAATTCTTCCTCTTTTGGCCGCTTCTTAACATTCACCAACTCACACTCTGCTACTGAATTATCCATAAGGAAAGGATGGGAGATGTGAGGACTAATTCCATTTCAAGGAAAAAAAAAAAAAATTAAAACCTGTGCCCTCAGGTTCTGTAGTGTCCTTCATCCAAACACTAATGTTCTCAATTGCTTTTCTCGCTCCAGCTCCTTGTTGTTTCTCTTCTTCTGCTTCTTTTCTACCACCAGGTGAAGAAGGGTCTCCTGCTCTGGAAACTCTGCGTGTAAGACTCACTGTTTGCTCTCTGAGGAGCTCTGGCTGTTTCAACAATTACTGGAGGCATCTGGACCAACTGGAGGGGTGTTTTACCATCTTTCAGGGCTTGGCACAGGTTCAAGATCTTGGGATGCAAATTGAGAGGTTTGTCACATCTTAAACTCATACATATATTAAGAATCATTTCCCACTTTTTGTCCTCACCATTAGGTTTTGCTGTCTAGACAGACAATTTCAGAAACGACAACTCACCTGTCCCCTCATAACAGCTACTTGTCTGTGAAACTGTCCTCTGTCAAAACCAGGATCTTTCTGTGAGACACAGTAGATAACATGTATATACCATAGCCATCCTCTCCATCCTTGTTTTCACTTCAAACTTCTCTCACTTACATCAGTCTATGCCACAAAAATTAATGATGACTTGCCTTAAAGAGTTCATAGAGGTCCTCTTCTAGGTCTTTGATGAAATTTGGGTCACTGAGTTTAGGAAGCACTATCTCTCTGATTTCCTGAGAGAAAGGAACTTTGGCCTGGGGAAGCCACGCCCAGTAAAAGGGGTCTGTGATTGGACAAGGAAACATTCTAATTGAATATATTGCTTGTAAAGAGCTCAGCAATTATTTGTGAAATCAAAACGAAGAGAAAATTAATTAAAACCTAATGAATCAAGCAAAGATACAGTCAATGTATATAAAATGTACGTACTTATAAAAAGGAAAAATAAAAAGCTCTTTCTTTTTCTCAAGGGAAGAATAATGTTCTTAAGTTGAACAATGAGTGGTTTAAACGGTGCTTACAAGCTCTCCAGGAGTCAGGGTGTTTCAGGGGGAATGCTAGGCCGTTGTCTATGGCTGCCAACTTGATGATAGGATCCTTTACTACCACCCAGTCTGTGTCCTGGACAGATAAAAACATAAATATAACAAATACATATTTAACTACTGACCTTTTCGGGAGAAAGCATTTGGCCTTCACAATGCAGAATGAGCAAAAACAATAACAAAAAAAAAAAATTAACAATATTAAAATTGCAGTGTTTAGCATTTTTCACGTATCCATCCATCCATTTTCATCCACTTATCTAATTCACTGTTGAGACATGGGTTGTAACTCTTCCAGCTGTCACTGGGCACAAGGCAAAGTACAGCCCGAATGCATCGCCAGTCTATTGCAGGGCTAAAAGAGAGGGGCAACCACTGACTGTTGCATTAACACCTACGGCTGATTTAGGATAACCACTTAACCTGACATAAACATCTTTGGACCGTAGCCAGAGAACCCAAGAAGATTAAAGCAGGCACGGGGACAATAAACAGGCTGGTCCACAGCTGGTTAATGGTTTGGAACCCAGGACCTTATTACTGTGAGGCAACAGCATGCCACTCTCATTCTTCATATGTTAACGATTCATTTATTTATTGCAAATATATGAACAGATTCTCATTTAATTCTAACAGGGTTGATTCACTGAGGGACCTTCACTTGATTTTGTTGCTCAAAAGCGAGACGTCTTTTTTCTTGCTAATGTAAGCTAATGCTAGCTCATCTGCTAATACCGATACTGATTTTTGGTGATTTAAAAATCGGATATATCGGTAATCTATATCAACATCGATAATTTTTATTTCCTTTCAGATACATGAAACATAGACAGATTTCCATAAAATCTGTTATGTTTAGTTATTTATGTGTCCTTACTAAGATAATGAAACTGCAGTTAAAAAATAATATTGTTTTTAGGTTAGCAGCAAGTCTGCCTGACTACAACAATGTTGTAGCATCCAACTGCAATAATCAAACAGCACTTTAAGAGACATCTGCCTTTCTCCATCTGCATGCTACAACATGAAACAATACTAAGACCACATCCTGTACTACTACATTCATGTTCTCAGCCTCACTGTAGTTTAGACTGAGCAGTAGGTTATTGTCTTTTATTTTATAAAAAGAATAAAAAGATGCTCAGATCAGCTGGTTGGTTGATGTTTGTGTGGGAAACATGTTTTGCCTACAGGAAAAATGTAAATCGCTACCTGTGCTTTTCCTGACAGTTATATTTTAATTAGCATTTCTGAAAATTAATATTACAACTCTAAATGTATTTGCACTTAAGCTTTCGTGTGTGTGTTTCTCACCCGGTTTCCAACAGTGTCCATGGGACAGTCGTACTTCAGCAACCAGTTGTCATTTCCCCGGTCTGGGATGCAAAAAATATTCAAATTCAGATAAACCCAATCCTAACCAAAGCAGCACTACACGCTCTGCAATGAGCACAATAAATGTTTTCAACAGTGATAAATGAGTTCACTCTGCTTCGTTTACTTACGGTTGTGAGTACGTACCTGTATTCCTGATAATATAATCGAGGACTACGAGCCGCTCAAACTGCAGCTGGAGCTGCCGGTTGGTGTTTTCGGGCAAAGGCTCTGCTTCAAACCTTCGCAGCCAGAAATCTGCATCCTTGTATCCCTCAACAAAGAGCTGAAAAGAACCGACCTGTTGAAGCAGAAAAAGTACTGCAAATTAGAGATTTTCTGATAGATTTCGAAATCATTTTCCCAAGAAAGTTAAAAAGCCTACAACTCTTCATCTGAAATGACCTAAAATGGTATTTTATCCCTGGGAGTTTTTTTTTTATATTTATGTGGGTTGATGACCAAACATAGATATTGTGTCCACTACAGCTAAAACGGCATTTGATTTTATAAGCTAATCAATAATGATGAACATGATTATTTCATGAGAAACAAGCTTAAATCTCTTGATGAGAGAAACTGAACATTTCATAGAAATGTAAGAATACATTTAAGAATATTTGTAGAATAATAAACAAATTAATAACTGAATAAAATGACTTGCATAAAACCAATGTACCAGATTACCTTGGGTGGCAGTCCAATCCTGTGAAAGCGCTGGCCCACTTTAGGCACCTTCTCCAAAGCTAGCCTTTTTCCTCGAGACTTGACCCTGTCTATGGCACTATAGTTGAATGTTTCACTTGCCAAATACACCACCTAAAAGTAGAAATTCTGATTAAAAAGAGGGAAATTTTTTTCTTTACTGACCTTTGTAATGTGAAGACACTGCCCTGAGAGTTTATACCTTGGTCCTGGGAACAATATTGAGCTCCAGTTTCTGATCAACCAGACTGGCCCCAGCTTCTGAGAGGTAGCCCTGGTTCAGGACCAAACAGTCACGGCCAAAACAGCACGGACAACACAGTTTCTGGAGCCACTTGGTCCACTTGGGATTCAGCTGCCCATAGGGCTCTTCATTTTTAGGTTTGAACACACCAATTATCTTCTGCAAAGGGAGACAGAATGGAAGAAAAATAAAATAAATTGCAGATAAAGTGGCCCATGCAGAGAAGATAGAGTAAGAAGGGCAGGTTTACATATATGTATGAGACAAACAGTAAAATTCAAAGACAATGTGTTTCTTTTTTGTTTTGTTTTTTAAATCTGACACCAACACAGAATAGAGAATAACAGAAAGCAGAATTATCCTGTAGTTTAAATAATAAAAGCCATTAACAACATGAACTGAAATTGTATACTGAAACCATATTATGGCTGAAATGAAACTAGAACCTTTAAACTTATTTTAAAAGCTACACAGGATGACAGTTTCACAGGATAGGCAAAAGGCAGATTTTTGGTATGGTGGTTATAATTCTTTATAGAAGTCACATGTTACATTACATGGTGCGTATAGTGTATCTCATGCGGCAATTACAACATAAACCTTGGTCACTGAAGAGTTATATCCTCACAGGGAGCAAGCACATGACTACTAATCACGGTAGTGACTAAGGAAACTGGAGAGGTGGAGAATGGGAGGTGAATGGGAGCAGCAGGTCACTGGATAAAAACCTCACACATTCAGCCTTAACAAGCAGCACAATAAAGCTGGTGTGATTAGACGGAAAATGCATTTGTGTGGATCCATCTCAGATGCCTTGAGGCACACTTCTCTTTTCTTAAACAACTTAACACACTGGGAGAAACTGGGAGGAAGGTGTCAGTGAGCTGCTCAAGCTGGCTCCAATCATGAAACTTTAGAGTATCATCTGAAAAAAAAAAAAGAAGCCTAAAAATCATGTATGTTATTTGAATATGTGTTGCTGTCACCGGGACAGCTGGTCAGATACAGAGTCGCTAACAGATTACTTACACTAGCTGGGATGTAGATAATGAACATGTGTCAACACACTTACAGTAACAATGGTGATGAAAGCATTTTAGAAGAAAGCAAGTAATTTGTTATAGGAGTTTTGCAATTGGTATATAACATTCATAATTTTGGTTGAAGACAGATATATTTGTTGGAAGCGGCCTGCAGTGTGTGTCTTATTTAGGGTGCGCTGATGTGCAATGCATAAGCTAAAAAACAGCATCAGTGTGGCCAGTAAAATAAAAAGAATACCCCAGGTCCATTTGGGTTGTGTCTGTGTGTGTTTTTAATTAACCTATTTTTCACTGATTTGGTGCATAAAGAGTCCTGGCATTACTGGACCTAGTGTTGGAACCACTGACATCTGTGATTATGAGTAATTAAGTCAGAACTAAGTCTACACTGGCACGGACAGTGGTGCACTGGTTACCAATTCAAAGTTCCAACTTCAGCTGGGGTTGCATGTTCGCATGTTGTCACTGTGCCTGGGTTTCCTGTGGACACCTCACCCTTCTGTCACAGCACATTAGGTGATTACAAATTGGTAGTGGAGGTGAAATAGAGGTAAAGTACTTAGAGAAAATAAATATCTGAGAAGAAAACCTGAGCTGAGAAGGAAGGAAAAAACCCTAAAGCCCCTCTTATGGAATCTCGGGCTATGTTTTATTTAAACTTTCTCTGTTGCATTGTATTATTCATATACCAACCTCCAATTCTCTTCAGTATCTGGCTATTCGATTGGATGATAATTAGTTTATCTAGACTTACAGTGTATCTGCAAAGTCATCACGAGGCCTTTCCTGGGACCAAGTAACACTTCTCAAAACACCCTTAAGTGTTTTCAGACAACACCAACAACCGCTCGGGTTTCACAAATCCCTCAAATGACCGGTCAGTTAAGAGGCAGATTTAAGTTAGCAAGTCTTCTTACCCCCTGTGAATCTTTGACAAAATAGCTCCCACTGGAACCCTGATAGATCCTCTCGGGGTAGATCCCCTCCTCTATAGCTCGTTCGGCCTTTCGGATGATCTCCCTGAACTCGGGATCTTCTGGGAATTCATTCCTGTGCGCCTCCCGTGGCGTGTTTCCACGGTCTCGATCCAGAAGCGGCTGTCTCTCTCGATTGCGCCCCGGACTGCCGGCCGTGATGCGCACCACGGAGCCCGGCGTGCTTCCAAACGCGCCCCGGGGGCTGGTGGGCTCCGTGGGGCAGTAGGTGAAATCACCCGAGTCCCGGAGCGGAGAGACAAGCGGACTCGTCTCGTCCATGACTTGGGAGGTAGACGAGAAGTTCCTTTAACTCCTAATAATGGATGCAGAGAGGAAATAGAAGACCGAAAAGAAAGTGGAATCGATGTTTTGTTAGCTAGCACTGACGCTTGCTAACAAGGAACAAGAAAAAAAAAAATCAGATGACCGTCAGCTTCCGGGAAGAGGCGGGACCCGTGAAGTGTTTTGATCTGTAACCAATCAGCGTGCAAATAGCCACTTCAGCAAGCTAATCTGTTGCAGTGATTGGACAGAATAGTTCCGCCCACGGAAAGCACGTGAGAGAAAAGTTAACCCAATCAATTAACCCCACAAAAAAGCCTTTGATAAACACGTCCTGTGTTTTTATCACGGGGCCTTTTTAGGATGTTATCAGACTGGGTTATAACAGTTTTACTTGTAGATGTCGGTAAATTCTGCCAGGCTGATAAAAAAGGACTTATATTTAGATTCAAGTACTGCATGAAAGCGCTTTCAATTTAATTAGGAGAATTAGATAAATCAGTGTCATAATATAATTATGGAAACTGAAGTTGAGTCATGGAAAGTTGGAATTGGACGTGTCATTTCTAATGATTTCTGGTGATATTTTTAAATGTAAAAAAAAAAAAACATTTAACAATCAGGCAATGGGTCACAGTTCAAGATACTGAAACATAACAAAACTAGACTCTATGGAATTTTTAAAACTATTTTTAAACAATTTATTCTTAATTCTTTTTATTTTATACTATCATGCACATGTATGATTTACTGTCTTGTTTGTCTAGAGTTCGTTAACATCTTCACCTAACACACAGAAGACCCGATGGCAGGGCATCCGGAGGAAAAATCTGTTTCAAATGAGAATATACAGTTCCATATCCTGTGCAACCTCTTGCAATTAAGGATTCAGCTATACAAAGCATCATTATCATTATTTTGTATTTTTTTCTGGTTTACACTTAGAGACATTTCTGGGTGACATCGGGCTGACGTACCTAGCTTTTACATGTAGACATGTTTCCCGTTCCCATCAATGATAAAATAAATTATTTTCATACTTGTGGTATATTAAAAAAAACTAAAAAGAATGCCCTGTCCCCAGTCAATTATACATGCATGCACAAACACAGATTCCCCATTCACCCTGCAGGTGGTCTTTGAGGGTCCCGTGCAGTATCTTTGCTTTTCCTAGGACTGCACCTTCCTGGACTAAGATCTGGGATTCCTTTGGTATAGCTACATTTATCACTGTGCCACCGCTACTCTGTCTGGTTGGTTAGCCATCATATCTATACTGAGAACATGTGTGTAGGAGTGTTCTCAGTCCTTGTTGAGTCATATAACATCAGAATGCCTTAGGCAGCGGATGATAAATGGTGATGAGGAACTATCATGGATGACCAACCTCTTTGTGGGATGTACCATGGACAGATAGAGGAAGTTGGTAACATCATGAAATCCTACCAGTGGCTTAAAGGCTGACTTAAAGGACAGCACAGAGGGTCTGATCATGCCATCATCAGAACCAAGATCCATGGAAGCAGGAGTCTACCACAGCCAAGAAGACCCAAGTTTTAGCCTGTGCAAAGGTGCCCTGGAGACTATCCAACAGCATATAGCACGATGTAATGTGCAAGCTGAGATGGTATACACTGAGACGGATAGTGTACAGGAAAATGTGTGAAACATGTGAATTAGAAGTCTTCAACTCCTGATGGGAGATGACACTGAAGGTGGTTGGGGACACCAGCGCTAAGACACTGTAGGACTTCAAGTTCCAGACAAATAAACAGCTGCTGGTCAACCAAACACACATAGTGATGGTTGACAAGGAACAGAAGACTGCAGCTGTGACAGATGTGGCAATCTCGGTTGAAAGTAACATCAAGAAAAAGGAGCACAAGAAAAGAAAGAAGCACCATGGGCTAAAGGAAAACTGGAACAGACGTGGAAGTCCAAAGTGGTTCGAGTGATAGAATAGAATAAAGGCATTTGGAGCAAACTCCAAGCTGGAAGAGCATCTCTAACAGATTCTATCAGAGGTCTCTGTCCTGTCTCAGAACTGCTGAGATACAACAGTCTTCAAACGCTCAGGCCAAGAGGCTTGAGAAAGAGACACATAGCACCCCCTACAGGGGTGACAGGGAGATGCCTTCTCCGTGCTTTATTGGAAAAGACAAATGTATATGCTCTAAATTTTTAGTGGGGGATGTCTTTTACCTGTAGATGGTATAGTTTCCATTAAAAGTGATGTGAATCTGCTGGTATATGTGCACTCATTTGCCACTTCTCACCCTTTGCTCCTGTTGTTAGAATGGATGCTATCCATTATAAGAAGAAGGCTTAATATCTTGAGTAGGGGGTGTTAAAATCTGAACCTTTCTGAATTTAGAGTCACACTGAACATTTGAAGACAAAGTGTGGTTTAAATGCGGGTACGCTAAGGGCATACTCATCACACGACTACCACGTCTCAGTGTGATGAATGTCTGAAAATTCCAATGAGTAACAGGAAAACCCAACTCACATCTCAGGGTTTCTAACCATAAAGGATTCCTTATTTAAATATACTCAGTTTAAAACGATTTTATATTAATTTTAAAATATTAATGATAAATAATAAATCATGTAATCACATATAAATAATTTATTTGTCAAATGGGAGTCTGGGAGTTAAAAGAGAAAAAAAAAGTGACAAAACTGACTCACCTTTTGTATCAGTGATTGATTTTTATAACCCAACAGGTGTTTTAGATTTTACACAATAGTTCTGCTGTCATTTTTTACTTTTACTGGTAATCTATATGTGTCTAAATATGTGATGAGGCTATAGTGTTTATTATTAATATGATACTAGTGGTGCTTTAGTGGTGTTTCTAAAATTGTCTCCTTCATGTTAATAAAGTGCACAAATATCTATAACATCTTTGAATATAATGCATTTAAGTAAATTGTCTACAGTGACCTAAAGAATTATGAAAGTAACCGATTATCGCATTTTTGACAGTGGCAACAGAAACTATGTAGACTAGCTTTGAGATTATGGCACAGTCTTATGTTTGGATCATGTTTCACAGATGCTACCATTGACTAATGGTTCTATCTTAAATATGATCAATCTTTCGCTCTCCGTGTATTTATACACCACAGAGTAGTGTATAAATTCAATAACCAGTAACTGGATTTAATCAACAGTAACAAATTTGAAACTTCGTCTCTCTCCCATGTGTCTCCCTCTGCTCTCTTCTCTTGCCACTCATTAAACTGAATTGAATATATGTTTCTAACTTAGTGAGGATATGCGATATATGACTTTTTTTTCCCAACGATTAAAATGATCATTCGTGATTTTTTTACAGGCACGTGCTAACATGATGCACAAACACCGGTGTGGACGTGCCGCTGTGCGCATCTTCCTGCCTCCCCTCCTCCATTGAACGCAGCACGCCTTCTGATTGGTGGAAACTAGCAGGAAGAGAGGAAGAGGACTCAAATCTTGAGAGCTGTCAAACTGGGCTACTCGCTAACCTTCCATCACACGAGCTCACATTTAGCAATCACCCGCCTGTTGCTTTGTAGGAACGTTTGGGGTTTCGGTGAAGCCCGGCTAAATCTGAGACCGTTGCTTCTGCTGCCTTTTAGGAGGAGTCACTTTCCCCGAAGTTCCCGGAAATACAGCGTAGAGGACATTGGTGTGAGGATGGCTGCGTACAAGATTGTCCTGATCCGCCATGGAGAGAGCTGCTGGAACCAGGAGAACCGCTTCTGCGGCTGGTTCGACGCGGACCTGAGCGAGACCGGGGAGCAGGAGGCAAAGAGGGGAGGACAGGCCTTGAAAGGTACGGTATCAGAAAATGTCAAGGCCTAATCGGGCTTTCTCTCGGTCACTGGATTAAGCCACAGCAAGCCGGTGCTTACGCAACTTTGTTGAATGGGGAAACCGGTGGTAGGCCCAGTGCGGCAGAAGGGATGGAGTCATTTCACGGGTTGTCCCGCAGTCTGCTGGGCCACACGGTCACTGCTTCAAATTAAATGCTACTGGAGTTTTTTTCCATTAGCTTCTCTCCCACCGGGGCAGACGGTTTGGCGCCTCCTGGTGCAGCAACATAGCCTCTAATTTTCATTCAAAGAAAGCAATTCTTATTTGTGGTGTTCTTTAACCACAGAAGTATTTTGGAGAGTCATAATATAATTAATTTAGTCTTTGACGATCTTAAGTGTATTTGTATTTATCAATAATAATAATAAAAATCCATAGCTTTTAGAAATGAGCATATGAATTAAAACTGGAGCATATAACCAGGCCAAAGATGCTTTTGTTTCCAGAGGGCAGAATATTACTGTTTGCTGAGTCATCATGCTGGATTCACACACACACACACACACACACACACACACACACACACACACACACACACACACACACACTCCTGCTGTTTTTTTTATGACCTAAAAATCCCAAACAGGCACATCTTGCAGTGTTAAGTCTGCCAGTGCCTTGCGGCCCCTGACCAAGAAAAATCACATGCAACTGATAAAAGAAGGGCAATAAAACATGAAGGTATCTATTATTTGATCCTGTGAATGGTAGCTGCAGTAGTATTCCTTCATGAAAAATATGACAAACTGTTTTGAAATACACGTCTCAAAATGTCATCTCTATTTCCCCTCAGATGCTGGCTATGAGTTTGACATTTGCTACACATCTGTCCTAAAGAGGGCCATCCGCACTCTGTGGTTTGTCCTGGATAGCATCGACCAGATGTGGCTGCCCGTCCACCGGACCTGGCGCCTCAACGAGCGTCACTATGGTGGTCTGACTGGGCTGAACAAGGCTGAAACGGCAGCCAAACACGGGGAAGCCCAGGTCAAGATCTGGAGGCGTTCTTTTGACATTCCTCCCCCACCTATGGATGAGGGACATGACTATTATCAGACCATAAGCAAGGTAACCGCTCGGGGAAATTATGACAAGTTGACTCTTTTCGTTATTGCTTCAATGTAACCCTGCGTTGCTGAAACTATTTTGACAACACCGACTTCTTCTTTTTCCCTGTAGGACCGACGTTATGCTGACCTGACAGAGGACCAGCTCCCTAGCTGTGAGAGTCTTAAGGACACCATTGCTCGGGCACTTCCTTTCTGGAACGAGGAGATCGTGCCACAGATCAAAGAAGGA